TATATATTTATATAAATATATATTTTCTTTTATTACATATATATTTATATATATATATATATATATATATATATATTTGAGTTCCCCGCCTCATTTCCGTAATAATAATGTGTGAAAGGATATTAATTATGAAACAAGCAAGCGGCAGGAAGTGCTGGCAATAAAAACAGCAAGCGACAGCCAACACCATGCGTGACCAACAACAGCAACAACAGCAACAACAGCAACAATACCAATACTCATTACAACAACAACTGGAGGGAACAGAACCAATTTTGTATATATATTGTATTTTATGCCAGAGCCACATGGCCAGCCCGACGGGGCCAACGGGCTGGGCAGAGAGGGCGTGGCCTGTATGGCACAACGGAAACGGCAGCAACATGTGCAACATGTCGAACGGAAGTGTCGGCCATATTACATACACACGCACGCTCACACACACACACACACACACACGCAAATAGGCTCACGTCTATCGGAGGACGAGAAGGAGAGTCATTAGGAGCTGGGCCAAGTAGATTTTTATGTAATGTCGCTTGGTTATTGCTTTCATACATTTATTTTATTTCATTTACCACACACCCACGCACACATGCACAACCAATTTTATATTTTAACTGCTCATTTTTATTACAAAAAGTGCAGGGTATGCGAGGTACATCAATTTGTCATGGGGAACGTAACCCAAATAAATCAGTTTATTTCAAGGTATCATATGTGAAACATACTGGAAATGAAACATTATAGAAATAACACGAGGAACAAGAGGTATTGAAACGAAATTTACAGTTATTATAATTGCAATCCGAGGCAATAAAACTTAGCTATATTTTCAATATTTTTCTCATGTGACAACAAGTGGGAATGAGACTTATGGTATAACATTTATGAATAATGTTCTCTCTGAAATAAGCGAAATTGAAACAAACATTTTAAATATAACTCAAAATGTAAGCTAAATGTTTCTCTTAATGAAAGTGTTTTTGTATTAACTTGGCATAGAAATTAATATTTATGTGCTTGGAACAAGTGGAAACGAAACAATTAGTATAATTAAATAAAAGCGAGCAAAGCAAGTCAAAGAAAATGTTTAATATGTGTCAATTTCTCTTGTGTTCCATTCCATTCAATATACGGAACAAGTGGAATTGAAACAAGCTAAATAAATAGCTTTTAATGTCCGCAAAACCAAATAAATTCGGTTATAATAATGCAATTATGAAGCGTAGTTTTCTCTTTGGAACAAGTGGAATTGAAACCAGAACTAAACATCTAGAGCATTGTAAGCTAAGCGAATTAAATTAAGCTCAATTGAGCTGTCAATCATAAAAACAATGAATATAAAACACTATTTGAAACAAACTTAAATAAAATGTTTTGGTTTAGGAACAAATGGAATTATTATAAAATTTTAAAGTGAAAAAAACCTACAATGCAAGCTTAACAAATCTTGTGCAGTATTTCAAATATTTGAACTGTACGGAATGGACAAACTTGTTTGTGGGGAACAGCTGGAATCGAAACGCAATTTATACAAATTTCAGCTCGACTTTAAATGCGTTGACAATTGAGAATAATTTGAGTTAAAGGCATGGAAAGGTATTCGCAATTCGCATTCTTAATGGCCCAATGAAACGTTTGGGAATGGGGCAGCAGCAGCAGGACCTCGACCTGCAACAGGATCAGCTAAAGGGAGCAACTCGCCTGTCAATGACAGCGCCGACGTTGACGTTGACGTTGATGTCGTCCATCAGCCGACTCTCTCAGTGTGTGTGTGTGTGTGTGTGTGTGCGTCAGTCGGTTGAGCACGTTGCCGCTTCACGTGACACTGACAAGGATGCCAAGGATGCCAGGGATGCCAGCAGCAATGCAGAACCTGAAACAGGACCTGCCCAGGCCCATGCTCATTCGCCCACGTTGCGGCTGCCTTCTGCGTGTAATTGCCGTTGTAATGTCGCCCGAACGCGAATATAATTGCTAAAATGTTGCCGACTAAAGGACGGAGAGACATCTGTCGGACACACAGATGGACTGCTGGCCAGACAGACGTTGGCAATGGCCAGTCGACAGTCGAGAGTCGACCAGTCCACACAGACGACACTTTTCCATTTGAATTTAATTTTAATTTACGCCCAACGGCCGTTTTTTGGTGCCCCGGAAATTGGCAATGGGCCCGAGCTGAACGGAACGAACATTCCGTGCATACCCCCGACCAAAGAGCAGGCGCAGGGTGATGAGAGATGAGAGCAGAGCGCAGGGTCCCTGTGACCCTCCCGCCTGCCTCACCAAATTCGAGAGCTCTGTCCGCGCCGTTGAGTTAATGAGAGAACCGCCGGCAGACATTTGGTTGAAATTGTAAAAGGAAGTCTAATTGAAGCAGATTCCCCCATCGCTATCTGCAGCTCCCCAGCTCCCAATTAGTCGATCAAATTTCCAACTGCCAAATTTAAAATGCACTTGACTTGCCTAAAAACGGAATGCCCTCATTTATAAAGAGACTCTCCCTAATACAGAAAGAATTAACTTAAATTGGAATACCTCTGCTCATATAGAGACTATCTCTAATTAAATAATAACTGCATAAAAGTTGAGCTAATATTTGAGCTCAACTTAAAAGGGAATACCCTCATTTAAATAGCGACTAACCCTGTAAACTAATAACTAAATATATAAAACACAATCAAAAGTCGTCACTTGAAATGGAATAACCTCATTTAAATGTATACCAGACTTGCCTCATCGTAAGTTTTGAATATATAGGGACTATCTCTAATTACATAATAACTATAAAAAATATAGCTAACTTGAAATGGACTACCCTCATTTAAATAGAGAGCTCTTCGAATTAAGAAATAACTACAAAGTTGAGCTTGTAAATCCCTCATTTAAGTGGCAGACCAGCTCTAATCAAAAAAAAAAAAACACTTTCCTCACAATTTTCCACACTGTCACAAATTAGCTCGTGGCTTCTGCATAACCCACATACCCTTTAATTCGTCTCATTTATAATCAGTTCTTAGCTTCTCGTAGTTTTCCGCTGTCCCTAAAAAGTCGTGCACATTTACGCCGACTCATTCATCTCATAATCACAATTAACAGAGAAATAAAATTGAAAATGATTTTTAGTAGTGGAAGAAAACTAATTAATATATTGAAAACCAATATACCCTACCTTTTCTAGTGGATACAAAAATATCTCGATTTTTATATAAATATATCCTTTTCTTTACATTTTCTCTTTGTGCCGCATCCTTAAACATTTCAACTACTCAACTAGCAGTAAACTCGATATCTATGTAAAGTAATTGATATTGTATACCCCATCTAAATTATTATACTACTCTAAAAAGTGTATAGATTAGATAATATTAGGGGCTTTACAGAGATTTCCGCTTCTATTTTTGTCTTTCTGCCTTTTCCTCTTAGTAGCATATCCTAAGCAATTCTGATTTTATATTAAAAATTACGTTTAGTCTTTTTCGATTTCATTCTGATAGCTTTAAGATACCTATGAAAGCTTACTTTATAAAGTAGCTATTAAAATTAATGCACAAAGGCTGTCCATAAAAATCGAATCACATAAACTTATCCAATTTAATTTCCTATTTTCAATATACGTCTCAGACTTTTTTGCTCTTTCCATGCACCTAGAAAAGTCTTTTACATCTATTAAAGATAGTGAACTATTCTGGATCAAAATTATTTATCCCTTTATGCTTTATTTATCCTTTGTGCCACATCATTAAATTTTGCCCGCTGAGCCACTCTTTAGCAACTGTATAGCATTAAGTAAAGCTTAAGCTTTTTAGTTTCCTTTGTGCCTCATTCTTAAACGTTTCTCTTATGCTGTCAGAAGTTCTCTTTGTATACAAGCACGTATGTCAGCTGATATATATAGATAAATTCTTTGGATGTTGATATAAAACCTGAACTGTAATGCATGTTCCTTTGTGCCTCATCCTTAAATATTTCTCAGGCATTTCTTGGCCATCTTGTGTCATGAGGGAGATCATATATCTTTGTATAGCTGTAAAATGCATTGGTGGCATTGCTCCCTGACTACTCCCGAACTACACCCTACCCGGCACCTCTTGAAAGGGTATTCAACTGTAACTGTCAGTGTTTTAGAGTGAATGAAAGACCTCTATAAGTCCGAGCGAGAGAACCCATCAATTTATTCATGTATTCATGCAGAGATGAGGAAAATTTGTTTTCAAATTTGATAAAAGTGTTAACCACGCTATGTTAATTTCATTAGCGCGTCTCTCACTCGGCGTTTCTTGTTTTAGTGACCGGCTTTTATATTTAACATATTAATTGCGCTAATTAGCTGTCCACTTAGCGTATATTTACCGGATTTTCAGTCTCGAATTTGGACATACATATTGGCTTTGAGTTTGGGATTGTCTGACGGGCGGACAAACAGACAAACAGACGCTGACGTCAACGTCTCTGATCAACGATGTCGCCACTTTAATAAATCAATTTTAATTAATTTAGGCGACAGTTTTTTTGTCTTCTTATTTTTAGCAAAACTGTTGACGATGCATATTAATTTTTTTTATTACTGAAATTTTAGATACTCTGAGTATCAGATCAATGGCAAATCACTCCAGATGAATCAGTTTCAACTGCCGTTGATGAAAACGAAAAAAAATGTATACATGAAGAACTGATCTACTCAGGATCTTTAAAGTTTTTTAAACTGATTTCTATTTGGTTAAAGTAATATAAATCTTAGATATTAGTTTTGTATCGATAGTCTGAACAGCTTTAAAAATATAGAAAAAATATTAAAAATTTTCTTACGATTAATATTATTTATATTTAATATATTATTATTAAAATATATTTTAGATTCGTCAATAATTTTTCAGTCTACTCTCGCATATGACAGCGTTTCGACAAGATAACATTAAAAAAAACTTAAACCTAAGACCATCTATAAAAATATACGGGCTGACTTATAATAAGATATTTAGATATTTAGCAAAATATGAATATATTTTGAAACAAAGTTCAGATCATTCCCATATTAACCATATAAAACGGCCTTTGTACTTTCGACCCAGATACAAAACGGCGAGATTCCATCCTTAATACTTAGAAACAAGCTGTAATGCTGACTAGTTGACTAAATTGTATAGATGCGGATTGAATTTGAGATTACTGCCAAGATAGCGTCTCATCAGTTCGTTTCGCTCTTGCAGTAGGGCGTTCCGTTGTCGCTGTATTTCATTGGCCTCCTCCAAAGTTATTCGTATGGCGCGCAGCTCGTCCACCCGCTCGGTCTGGAGACACCTCACTAATGTTGAGTTTTCGATATCGATCTCTTGCTGCTCCTCTTTAATTCGACTCGAGACTAACTCCTCAAAGTTAGACTCGTCCATTAGTACATCGGTCTGGATGACATCGGGCTGCTCTGTTTTGATCTCAATCTGCTGCTGACTCTCTTCCTCAGGCGCCGCTTCGAAGTTCACAGTTAGGGCACTTGGTTCGGGCAACGTGCCCGCATAGATCTCATCCATGGCGCTAAAGTATTCCCAGTTTGGATCGCCGTCTTTCTTCTGACGCTTGATATTGAAGTAGGTGCGGCTCATGTTGCGAAACTTGCGATCCAGCTTTATGTAGCTGGCCTTAAAGCCATGCTGCTCAAATTCTCTCACAACATGTTGCCAGATCTCAGTTCGTTTTTTGTGTCGTTCGCGGAAGTCTCGCTTGTACTTCAGATAGAGGCGCAGCAACAATAGCGTCTCCTTGTTCGACCATTTGCCTGCAGAGAGAGAAAGATTGAGAGAGTGGGAGAACGCAAAGTATAGTAACCAAAAACAAAGACATATGTATGTATGCATATTTGTTTATTAATACTCACGCGTCATACTAATGAACCAAAATATATACAGAGAATCACACAAAAGCAACTTGAAGTGCTGCAAAATGTTGATCAACTAACAGCTGACATCTGGCGTTCATGAATGATAAATATCGATGCAATACTCAGACTGAAACAGTCTATCGATACTTGCTATATCGATATATAGTCGCATTAAATTAGGGATGATTTCTTCTATATATGCATGTATGTATATATATGTATATAAATATATATACATATAAGTATTCTTTTATTTGCCATATAGTATTGAGATACATATGAACACCCGTACACAAATGTACACCAATTGCTTTTTGTTTACTCTCTTATACTTTACAGCTTTCGTCGGCTCCTATTGCTTTTATTCGTTTATTCGCTTAGTTTTGCAGTGTGTGAGTGACATTGAGTGTGTTGCTTTTGCTTTGCTTATAAACTATTAATAACTATTTATGTATACATACGTTCATATGCGCACATGTATGTATATGTATTATGTAAATATGCACACACACGCACACAAGTATAAACAGTTAATTTTTTGTAGCTTTTGTTTTGCTCTTCTATTGCTCGCAGTTCGAAGAGGTCGGCTTATTTTGCATATCCCTTGTAAACTCAGGCAAGGTTTGAGGTGTCTTTATGCGCTGCTCTTCATCGGCGTTTGCCATCTGGTTCTGCTTATTCTCAAATTCGGCTAGCTTTTGCAGACGCCTGTTCATACGCTCTTCCAGTTCCACGATACTCAATGTTGTGCTGCGACTCGAATTGCTCTCCAAGCAAGGATTTTCGTCGCTTTCAGATGTGACGCTAGCGAATTTTCCTGATATGCCGTCGCTCGTCTGGGGACTGTTGATCTTTGCGTCTGCGCCAGACATGTCCTGTAAAGTATTGATCATTGCTTCGCCAGGCAAATCATTGCTTGACTGTAGATCGTTTGCCATTGTCTCGCCTCCATCCAGATATTTACGAAATTCTTCCGAAAAATCTTTACCTGCCTGTTCATTCTTTACATCGTCTTCACCCAGCTTCAGCTTCTTTTGCGAAGGCACATCTTCGCCTGGCTTATCAGTCAGAAAATCGCCTCCGCCCATCTGCTGCTCATGTGACTTGGGCAAACTTGCGCTTGGTTGTGCTTTAATCAGAAAATCGCCTCCACCCATCGCTTGCTCAGCTAAATCTTTGCCTGGCTGCTCAATCAGAATATCATCGCCGCCGGTCGCGGCCGTCTTCAGCAAGGAGTCAATCACATTTACCGCTACCATCTGCGTTACAATCTCCACCTTGCGCTGCTCCTTCTCCTTCTGCAGCACCATGTTGACCACGTGCGACGCCGTCTTATACTGTATCAGATTTGCCATACGGTCGACCATATTGTTCACTATAAATTCAATGTCTTCACTGGATGGAAAATCAATATCGAGCATGCTTCTGTAGTTATATTTGTATATAGTATGTTTTCTTTATATAGGACAGCCTCTCATGCAGTCTATGCTTCGTTTGACTAGATTTTGCCTAATGCTTGTCAACTCGGCCGACGCTTGCTTAGATCAACTTTTTGAAGCAACTTGAATAATTCAGCAAAAGGAGACGTGGCACACTATTCAGATATCCTTGATATATACTATCGATAATTAATCGATTTTACGCACTTAAACCTTAGTTCAATCAGTCTTTACTCGCTCTCGTCTATGTGCATTCGTATCCAAGCACAGCAACAGCTGCCGCAAGGGTTGGGGTATCTGCTAGCTGGGCACTCCCTTATAGAGCACTCTTCTCTACATGCACTAAAACCGCTAGATATATTATAAACTCAATTCAGACTGTATGCCACTCCACAGCTAACGGTTTGATATCTTTTCTAATTGTAGGCCAAATTAACGAAATTACTCAATAAGCAGTTTATCGGCTTGCGCGCTGGAGTCTGTGGCAACGGCTGCAAGTGGTCCACCTGCTCCACCTGCTCCATCAGCTCGAAATGCCAAGGTTCGTTTTTCGTATTGGCCAACCGTGAGCAATTTACAGTTAAAACCAACTAACTGAAAAATATCAAAAGTTAAGCAAACAAACTTTGTCTGGACTTGGAGTCGCAGTTGCAGTTGGAGTTGCGCTTGCAGCGGGGAGCTGCTGGTAGTCCGGGGGGTCTGGCACCTGGTTAATGCTTTGCTTGCTGTTTGTTTGCTTTTGTCTTTTGGACTCGTTTCTGTCCGTCTGTCTCTCTGTCTGTGCCTCGTTTTTAGTTGGGCAATGGGCAACACACCCATATTCCGTAGAAAAATATAAATTTGGGTGCGTTAGTCAAACACTGATAAAAATCATAAGCCAAAGATGAGAGACACACACACACACACTCACGTCTTGTACGTGTCGCTTTTGGCCCAGACATTAGGACAAAGCCGTCTCAAATATATTAGGCCAATTATGTTGCACAAAGAAAACAAGTGAGAACATTGCAGTCGGGCATGTTCGACTGGCGAATACTCTTTCTCAAGACGGAATTTAAACAGATATTGATAGAACTTATAGATATATCTCTAGTGTAGCTAAACAACCAATAAAAACTTGATGAACCATAGTAGAAATTAGGGTTTTCACTGAGACATAGAGATGATCAATCAAATTTGGGTTTAGTAACTAGAAGCTATAGGTATTTCAACTATTTGTGTGAGTGCGCACATCTAGATCGAATCTGGGACTAAAATCCAAGTTCTCTAAAGTGGAATATATCCGGAAATATTCGGGTTGCGCTACCCCCTTCACAAATCAAAATGTCTACAACCAATAGACTCTGTCAGAACTGCTCAGGGAGTAGAGGAAAACACATTTACATGTACTCTCAAGTGCCACGCCCAGCAGCCCCTGCCACCGCCCGCGCCCATAGACCATATCGCGATGCATGCCCCCGCTGAAACGTGAACGCATTCGACCCGACAAGAGCTGAGCCCAGTTTTCTAGGGTGTTGCTGGCTATTCTGTTTCACTCACCTTCTGCCCTTTGTCACTATTATCGCACGCTTTCCTATGCGTATCTAGCTCCGAGCATTATCTATTCCCTAACATCAGTTTTTCTTTCTTCCTTCTTTCGCTTGAGTTTGGTTTTCTTTACAATTTGTGTCGTCTCGACGTAATTAATTTCGAGCATTTGAATTCCAGATATTTGGCGATAGCAGCGTCTATAATGAATTTTCCATATGCCTTGACACGTACTGCGCACCTGTCAATGGCTCCTCAGCCGAGAGGATCTAGATGCCGTGTTCCTTTGTGGGTCAATGAGTTCGACTTGTTGATAATTAGGCGTAGCGTTCGGGCAGGTAGCATGGCCCAACAAATCCCTCAGGTGTGTTTGCGTATAATGCTTTAAGAACAGTTTGAAAATATTTATGTGTGTGTTGATTGATTGACTGATTGAGTGATCGATGATTGAGGGCACAGCTCAAAGAGTGGAGACAGATAGTTTTAATTGCTATCATGATACAGTAGTTATATTCTGCTATATAAGTACGGAGTTCCTGATCCCATTGAAAATGGGAAGTCGGGGTATAATTATTTTGTTACAAGACCTTACTATGCGCTTCTCATTACATAAGTAGTGACTTAACTTTCTTCAGACTCTGCTTGCACTGTCTTTAAAGCCTAATACATTTCTCCTATTGACTCCTATTCTTAATCATGCCCCTATGCCTTACTATGCGATTCTCAAAAGTTAAAATCTCTTTCTGCTCGCTTTTGGCAATCCTAAAATCTGACTCCTTGACTCCGTCCATGGATTATTGAATAAACCTTATTTAATAAACCAATTTAATCAATATTTTTATAGAACTCAGCATTTATATAGCTTAGCATCTAGTAATTTCATTTTGGTCCTCAATTTGCCACCCTGCTCTATAGAGTTGATAGATGCACGTCATAAACAAGGCTGAAATGCTTGAATTTATCAAGCCAAGAGGTGGAGCAGGCAGGGGCGGATGCTGCGTAGCATCACTCGCTGTGTGGAGGGGAAATCGAAAACGACTTTCGACACGGTTATCAATAACTGGCTATCGATATTTTATGAAAATTGATACGGCACACACTCCATTCCAGTCGGGCCAAATAAATAAATATATAAATAATAATGGGTATTATTATTACAGTTTACATTCGGGCCAAATAGTTTTCTTCTTCTTCTTTCGCTTCGTCCTGCCCGCAGTCCTTGGGCAATGCCACTCATAAGCGCACTAATCCGTCAAAATTTATTGCCCAACAGAGAGGGAGCGAGACAGCTGCAGAGAGAGAGAGAGAGAGAGAGAGACGGAATGAGAGCGCTGAAGATGAACAGCAGCCGAATGGGGCGTGGCAGGTCCTTCGTCCTGGCAATTGATAACGTGCGTGTGAAATTTATCAAATAAATTGAGGCCATAAATGTCAAAGCTGCGCATGATTCATAGACCCAGTTGTGGCTGACGCTCAACCGAAAGCGAATGTGAGCGATGCTGCTTATTAGACAGCTTCCGTTAGCCAATCAAGCGGCCCACCCACTGATAGGCGCCACCCGCTCGCACACTGCGCCTCGAGCCATAAGTCAATTCGCCTGGCCTGACAAATTTCTCGGTCAAATTTCGCAAGTGTTCGCAATTTATTAAAAAACCATCAAAAATTAAGCCTCAACATTTCACATGCCTGTGCTGAATTATAAATGAGACTAGCTGGCAATACCCTGTAGATAGACGCGCCTAGTATACCCTGTATCTCTGGAGCTTACACAGAACTTCTAGTTCATTATGAGAGAGTCAAAGGGAGTGAGAATGTGACAGGGGATGAGAAGAGAGAGAGAGAAAAATGTACTTGAATCAATTTAATAAACTTTTAGATACCCAGCAATCAGAGTTTTTTAAATTATTAATAAGATGAGCTTACGATACCCTGCATATATAAAAGATTTAATTACTGGCTAACTAAAAGTATACCCTAAATGAAATTTACATATAAATTTGAGCTTAAAAGAAAAACCCTCTAATCGAGATGAGATGAGAAAAGTAGAGTGTTAGAGAGACGAAGAGAGATTGAGATAGAAATCGATTCGGGATGCATAACGATACTGGGGTCATGAATTGCAAATGAGTAGCCCAGCAAAATGGAATAAACGTATAGAATATACCCTGTAA